CATTAACTCTGATCAAGTCCATGCACATGTTGAACTTGTCCTGGTAGTCCAGTTCATTTGTTTTAATGATTTAAATTGAAGTTCATCTGGGTGATGATCACACACAACTGGGTTTGAGCGAACGGATTTCGTACGCTTTGACTAACAGCGACAATAAATGAGTTTTGTACTTTTGTTGATCGTTTCCGACTGTCTCACCACGGTTTCAGAGATGATGATTGTTCCTGCCTAAGAAATGTTGAAATACGGACGAATATTAGGACTCGGACGTGATTGCTGTACGTACACGTCAGTTTTGTGTGTTTTTCGCAAACAAAAATGCATATGATGAAGGACAATCATCAATGTCTAACTATCCATTACACTCCATACTGCTTCTTGTCTTTCTACCTCTCAATCCGTTGGGTTCAGTTTTGGTCACTTTTCGAGCCAGAGGTTATTAGGTGTACACCTGCAAAAAAATTATCTTGAAGACAATAGATCAAGAGAAACAGAATCTGCCTCGTGACAGAAGTATTGCCATCCTTCCCTGGAACTTACTCGCTGAAACCTGCTTAGTACGTGAGTGCAGTGGACATGCCGTCTCAATAATTCTGTACACCTCCAAATACTCACTTTCACATTTTGTATCATGTTTGTGTCAATCTTATTCCGTTGCTGAACCAAAGATGTTTCTATTTCGACCTTTGTTGTATAGACTCAGGAGACTTCTACCCGTAGAGGCTCTAAAAACTTCCAAATACCCAAACCGGTTTTCAAACTCGGGATTGTTGACACGCGTCGTTTGGGTGCGAAGGGCTCATGGGCTTCACTCACCCGACTTGGATTCAAAACAGGTACTCTATAGACTTGGCGAGTGTGTACTTCGGCATGGCAACTGGCAACCTTGAGGTGTCAGTGAAATCAGCTAAGGACATATGACACACCGAGAGGACAGTGGTTATGTGCTCAAGTCGCTCTTCACCACCTTCCTGGACAAGGAGAGGTTCAAAATTGATGCATTTCATGGGATCAGTAAGGTCAGCACAAATGAGATTTCCAGGCGGTGTAAACAGTCCAAATTATAGCACAATATTTTGCGCGCGGAAACAGGTTAAACCACGATTGAACAAACTGGAGGCCAAGAAAAGCTCTCGAAAACAGATAAAGAGAAATTGCTAAGTATGGCCTCAGACATTGTGTCATGCGTGGGAGATGAAAACGGTACTTGATTGAAACATTTCGAGGTGAACGATACCACGAACAATCAAAACAGTCCTGCAGATAAAATATAAGAAAAGAAGAATGCAGGTGGCTCTAACAGGTTCACCTACATGAAAGCACTTAATGTGAGCTGAAACGCACATAACCCAGTAAAGCGAATTAAATTTCATCTACTTTAGCTATTGAAGGATATCTAATTTAAGAAAACGAGTCGGTGAGCGAACAATTGTTTTCAGATATTCCTGGTCATACTCTTACAAATCATAAAGTAGAAAAATGCGTACAGAATGACAGTCATTTGGCTCAATTAAAGGTCATTAATAGGAGTCGGGATGATTAAGTCAGAGGAAGACCGGTGATCGTGGATCATCTCGTAGATACCGGACACAAGATCGAACCGGAGAAAGCGTTCGATGTTGTTTATCGCATCCCATTTAATCTATCGAAGGCGGCCCGAGTTTGGACATTGACCATGGCCGAGGCGATCGCCATTCGCTTTCTCTGTCTAAACACGTATTCCCCAAAACGACTGGTTCAAGCGCGCTTCCTTTGCCCTGGCCCAGTGTGAAAACCAAAACAGAACAGAACGAGTCCCTTGACCCGAAATGGCGAAAGGTCACATCCATTGCCACAATAAACGCTCTTACACGTATACACATACGCACACACATCCTCTTCCCACCAACTCCGATTAATGACCTTTAAGTGAGCCAAATGACTGTCATTCTGTGAGCATTTTTCCACTATATGATTTGTAAGAGGAATATCGGAAAACAAGTGTTCACTCATCAACTCGTTTTCTCAACTCTATTATGGAAATATCTAATTTAGATGAACTCGAGGCGCGTAACCACCACTGGTACCATCTGCGGTAATTCAGTAAGCGGATGAATGATCGCGAAAACAGTAAGAGGTGCCTCCTTGAGAAATGGCCCAACGGAACTCGCTAATTTTCAGCCGGATAATATCAGACCTCATAATCCGTATCTAAAAGCACGCTGGTTATTATTTCAAGATAGCTTCGGATTTGAACCCGACAGAGATTGTTTGTACTATTCTTACTCGAAAGGTCTATGAGCACTGCTCAGTTTATACGACAAAGATCGAAATAGAGTCGTCTTTGATTAAGCAACGGTATAAGATTGGCATATACCTAATTCAAAATGTAGAAGCGAGTATTCGAAGAAGGTGTGTAGAAGTATTTAGACGGAATATCCATTGCACCCACATACTAAGCTGGCTTCAATGAGCTAGTTCCAGGGTATAAGTCCAATACTTTTATCGAAAAGACGAATCTCTTGTTTTGATATATGTATTTTCTCCAAAATAGGAGATACTCTGATGAAATCTGGTATTTTGGCTTTTTATTCAATTGCCGTTCGGATCGTGCCTGTGAGAGCGGCGATAATCCACAAATCCAGTGTGTGTGTGTGTGGGGGGGGGGAGGGTATAAAAGTGAAAAAGTTGAAAGCAACTTCAATCACTGGTATCTACTCACTCTAATCTAAGGCGTGAAAAACACTGATTCTAAAGATCTCCTTGATCCCCGAATGTAGAAACAACTATTTGCATCCCATTCTCTGTGGAACCGCAGATTTGGCAACACCCAAATCGGTTCATGTATGGATTGGATAAATGGTCAATTCAAATAGAGCGTCTCGGGGTTATTCGATGAATAGTGCCTAAGCATTGGACTTCACTTCGAAATAAGGTTAACACGAGATGCACTTTGTCTGAACAGTGTGTTAACACGGATCACACGGACAACAACTGCTGCATGGCATGAAGTGATCACGTGACTTTCATCCACGTGTTCGTTCTTGGGTGTTTCCCTGATGCACAACACGCAGGCCGGTTTGTGATCAAATTGACCGTAAAATCAATCTATCATTCCGAGTTTTGTCCATCTAATCTCGAATCCCTTGTTCACGTGTCAGCAAACAAACGAAGTTCCTGGGTGTGTATGTGGGAGGGGGGAGGGGGTGCATCGTGACTCCGATTTTGACATTTTATTTGTCTTCTCTCTCTTATTTACTCAGAAAGTTTATCGCATAATTAACGAACAGATGGTAGCGAGAAGCTAACAATTTATTGCGTGACAAATCAGCTGAAGGCCGAACATGTGAACAAGTTTTGACATTCAATATATATTATGTATTTATGCATATATATACATATATAACATATGTATAGACGCTGAAATATTGGGTAGTTTATTACATCTACATACAAAGTAGCGCATAGGAAGTAAGTTCGTTTTTCCGACTTTCGTCACCTGGTTCATACAATTTTGTAATGCGAGTATGGCATTGACTTTTTTATCACAATTTATGCCACTTCGTTCATTTGGTTTTTTCTCAAAATCAAAAAGAACATTAAGAAATTCTAATGCACAGGTTCTCGATTAAAGGAAGACAGTTGTGTGATGTTTTTTGGATTCCGAACCAGTGTGTGGTGAACAGCAGTTGGGGCGGACCTCATAGTCAAGAAGACCTGCTGTTCAGTGATGGTAATCAGCAACCTAAGCCCCATGGCTCGGAGTAGCGAACCACATAAGGCCAGCTAGCTCAGGTGTGATATAGAACCGGCGACAGTATAGCTGCCAACAATCAAAGCTGGGTAGCGGTGGCGAGCCTCGAACCTCGGACCACACGGTTCAAAGCACACCGATGACGGCGACTAAGCCACTGCTAGTATTCCTTGGAAATAGAGTGTCCCTGCGCCTCGGTGCCGCTCATTTCTCCCCGCGTGCAACCTCGGAAATTATCTTTATATTTGCACATTTGATAAACCGATCGGAATAGATTTCAAAATATATTTCTGTATTACACATAAAAGGTGACAAGTGGATTGGCACATATTCCTCAGTAGTTTGGTCATATTTACAAAAAACTGGTCATTATAATCGGTCATCTTTGATTACGTCGTTAATATGTTGAAACTGAGAACGGAATGATCACATTTTCTGAAATATATATTCGGTCTATCCGTATATTACCAAGCAAAACGGCTAGTTTGATTCGTCCGTTAAATTCATAAAATCAATGGAAGTGCAATTATCTGTCGAGATACTGAAAATTTTTATGTGACAAGCAGATGTAAGTGCAACCAACTTCCCTAGGTCACATCGAATTAGAAGTGTTTTTACATTCTTTAATCACACCTAAACGGAACCATCTAGAAATCCGAACACAGAATGCAAATACCGTGGTCACTGTGGACACCGTGTTTTGCCTTCATGGTGTTTCGCATTTAACTCACAGTTACTTGTGAGTAGTGTGTGTGTGGGATAATTGATATTGATTGATTTGAACTGACTACCGTTCGAACTTCACCTTTATGCACAATCCTCAATTCATCAATTGAACCATATACTCGTAAGCACTAAACTTGAGTTTCGGTATTATTAGATTTTATCACCAGTGCATATCTACCGTCCCGTCCGGGATGTGAACTCCGGATCCATTGCATGGTGTTTGTCGATGGAACGAAGAAATGGACCACTGGGCGATGAGTGCGCTTCCCTAGCTTCATGAAACCATTTTTTTGGGACTAAGAGACAGTGTTGAGTCCTGAACTTTTCCAATATTGGTTTGAATAGAGTTCAACCACATATTCATTTGGACACGCCTAATAATTTGGAAACTTTAGTACAATTCATTGAAATTAATATGTCCGAAATATTTCTCTACAACGAATGCCCGAACAGACATTGGCCACATCTTCTGCAAATGGTGACTTGCCAAGTTGGGGGGACTGATTTACAGTATCTTTCACGGTGACGAGATTCGGGATTAATGGAATGGGCAGTGAGTAAATAAAAATTTGCATCTTGTTGTCAGTGTTTTTGACTAAATGAAATGGAAAGACATTTGAAAGGAGCTGGTCTGTCAATGATTTTGGACAGCGGACTTGTGTTCTTGATGGGACGTGGTTGTCCTACAAATGAAAAATGATTGTAAGCTTTTCATTTTGACAACAAATCTATGTGAATTTATCTACTATTTAGTTGACTGTTCCAACCGGATTCAATCCTGACATGACATGACAACGGGCAGAAACGTGCGAGACAACAAAATTGCCGTGTAGAACGGTTTATGCGTGATCTGAAAAAAGCGCTAACCCCTGCTCCACTCGTTCAGGGTTTCAAGACAATATGAGCACTGTACATTTTAAACCTAATCATTCACCTATTTTCGTAACCTTTTCAGTAGTGGAAAAGGTTTTGAACCTGATTTCTTAGCAATCAACAACCGATTCAAATCAAAGTATCTATCAGAGGTATGGAACTAGAGAAGTGTGTCTTGAAAAACTGAACTAGGGAAACAAAATTTGGCAGATTTAATACTCTACGGTCTATAATCAAAAATGAGCAGCATGCTTAGAAATCACAGAGAGTCTACTCTGGGTTACTTTGACCAGAACAGCTACCACCAATGCGGCAACGGGAATCTGAATTACGGAGATCTCCTACTGTGTCCTCGATTAGTACTATAAAAGCATTCATATCTCTGCTCATTTCCCTTCTCTCCAACAGCGACACGTTCTCCCTCAAGACACTTTCATGTCCCAAAGCCTGGAAGAATTGGGTCTGGGCACCTATGTCCCACATGTTCGGGCCATTTCGAAAGAAACACTGATTATCGACGCCTTGAGATTGTTCCTTCAGCACCGGGTCTCTTGTTTACCGGTCATCGATTCGGAAAATCGCCTAATTGAGCTATATGCCAAATTTGATGTGTTCGTAAGTTCCCGGCACAGAATTTGTTTTTGACTTTATTGTCAAACAGAGTGAAAGTTGTTAGAATGTTCCAGTATGTTGTGATTAGTTAAAAACAAAATACAGTAATCGGTGTGTAGTATTTTAAAAAATCCCGTAGTCTTGATCAAGCCACATGAGGACCGCGTCTGACTGCAGTCCTTTCCGTTTTTATTTGTAATCTGTTAAAGAATTTGGCCGTCACAAGGACCTATCACAATTTGGACGAGAGCATTTACAATGCCTTGGCTTTTCACCGTGCAAACAGACAGGTGAGTTACAATTCGGTTCGACCTATTTCTTCCATCAGATCCACTTTATTTTTCGATAAACGGAAATCCAATTTTCCTCGGAATTGGAACAGAAATAACAAATGTGTGTCTGTGTGCGTGCGTGTGTTTATTTTAGGTTATTTGCCAGTATAATCTAATCATTAGGGGTTGACACTTTTTGTGTTTTCCGCCGTAAGTGGAATCGCAATAGAAAGCTTGCGTTGTGTGTATGTGGAATGGGGTTGGGGGTGTGACTACTATGTGAGTGATCCTCTTTTAGCAAGGCTCGAAATATTGCACTATTTCTGTTTCAAATCAGATGGCGAATTAAAACCGTGTGCAAGAGAGCGAGCGAGAGACACTAGAGCATGCCGAAAACGAATATGACTGCATACAAGACGCAGTCTGATAAGGGGATCGCCCATAAAATCCCTAGAATGATGTTGATCCCTCAATAAATATCACTCTGTCTTCCCAATGATGGACGTCGTAGAGGTAAAGCTCGACTGGTATAGACTTACTTTAGTGGTGTGCTTGTTAGCAATTATATGGTACAACGATGCTAAAAATTACCAGCATATGCCTCATTGCGTGATCACATGGAATAAGTTTGTTTGCGATACTTCATCGACTGGATCAATACAAAAAGTGTTTGGTTTAATTATTGAGGCAGTCTACGAAGCATCAAATACTAAGCATATTATTGAACAGATTAGTGATTTAACCCGTTGATAAAACTATCTCTTGATAGGTTTAACCAATGGCTAGAAAACTGAAACATTGTGTTTTTCCACTAACTTTATGTGAACAATCTCTTTTGATCTTGCCGATGTGTTACTGTGCGCATACGGCAGGGTGTGAAGATGTAATCGATAAAGTACAAATGAGTTACATGAAAGAATAAGTTTCCTCTGGTATATGTTTCTCTATATGATGTATCTGACGTTTATCCGCTTGTCTTATGCATAATTTATTATATGTTAAATCTTAGTGAAAGTTTTGATTCGTCGAGTTATGTACATCAAACAGAGCAGACATATGTCGAACCATACAGCTCACAGACTGAGCGATTTTACACCGACTGTAGGCACACCCAACAGTTGATGACCAGATGAGAGAGGATTTAATGGCCGTATCTTTGCGCTGATTGTAATCTGCCTGGAGGTAAAATCCTCAGTGTCTTGGGGCTGTCCCGAAAAAGAATCAATTGTCTAAAAATAGACAAGAACTTTTGTTCACCAGACACTTGTGGAAGCTGGTGGAACAAAACTTAGGAACCAATATTCGCTCATCCGGAAACGCATTCAGTGCGTTTTGAGGTCGAAGAGAGGGATAAAGCGGGTGTGTGTGGGGTGATGAATGTGGGACTAGCGTGCATAGAAGGAACTACTTGTCCTTTGGTCGATCAATATTTCTGCGTTCCCTTTCGTTTTTCCTTCGTAGCGATATCCGAAACCTATGACTTGTCTAAAGACAGACACCCTGAGCTCCGTCATTGAACGGGTGGTCAATTCTGGAGTAAGTTATACGCTTTGAATATACTGTTTGCAAAATACACCGTTATTTCATCATCCGAGTGATCCATAGTTTGAGTGTTCTTCTCTCCTAAGTGAATTTGTGGAAATAGTGCTTGATGGTAGTGATTAAAAGTCACGTGAGTCCGATTTGACTGTTTTGTTTTTCATACGGTAATTCGTCTTGTGTATAGAGCAAATGTGAAGCATGAACTGGAAAGCTAGGAAGGACTGGGCAGCTATTTTGACCCGGTTGCGTTTCATCAGCGCAGTGCGCGCATCCATCGACCCGGGACCTCACAGGTAGAAGGCAATCATACTACTCCTTCGGTCACCAAGCAGCTGATCAGATGGTTTTTCATTTTCCGTTTACACTACCATATGGTTCCTTCGTTTTGTTTTGATTACACAATCCAACAAATGCGTAAAAATTTCTCATAAAATTATCTATTTGTTTTTTGTGTGTGAATCATAAAAACGTTAACAATAGAAGTCATTTGCTTTTTGTAGGCTTTATTTCAACTGTGTAGATCAACTATATTTGCCTATACTCACTTGAATGTTGACTCTTCAATTTTTATCCAAATCTGTGTGATCTCGTTCTATCACGTGATTTGTTTTTCGTGAGTCTGGACGTAACCGTTATTGTTGTTGCACAGAAAACTGTTGAAAAGGAATTCGCAATCCTATCAGAACGTGAGGCTTAGACCCACGAGCCTGGGCTGTTCGGTTTTCCGACAAAACGCAATCCAACACGTCAGAAACGATGAAAAAATCTGTGCGCTTGTGTCTGTTTAGCCAAACCAAATCGGTTTTCACGACAATTAGAACACTTGAACAGGAAATGGGATTGTGTGTGAGGTCGATGATGATCAGCAGCGTCATGAATGACCAGAATATGTCCAGAATATGTGTCTAGTAAACGTGGCTGGCAGGCTGATCAGGAACGGTTTGTCTTAGTCCTCCTTGTGAAAAGAAAAATCCTGGGCACGTGACTTTGAATAGAGGAGTGAAAACAATTGTGCGATGCGAGAAATTAAAGTTGCAAACATTTATCGAGACTAACTTTACGCGGTCTCCGGACAATTAACTATCTATGTATTCAACAACGAAAACTGAGTAATTAACTATTGTCGCTAGCGTTTGACTTTAAGGGATTGTAGGAAATAAATTTTCGGTAACTTGTAATTCACGATATTGAGAAAGTGGTGATTAATTGGGGTTTCTCGGAGAAAATTGTCATCAAGTTTTAAGTATATTCAACCCCGGTTACATTGCGATTCTAGTTCCGGATTAAGGGGACGCATTGATTTAGTGAGAATTCTCTGAGAAAACGCATTCGCTTTGGTCAAAGCAAAACCAAGTAATATCGCCCCACGAGAATACACGAGAAAATTATCATGGACCGAGTTCCGAAGAGTGCCCATGTAGTGGATCACATACACGGTTCCAGAGTAACCAATGTTTTTACTTAGTTCCATTGTGAAACTTCTAATTAGCCTAGCTCTCTATCTTTTCTCTTCTGAATGTTCAGTTCTGTCATCTAATCAATCAATTAGTGTTGGCTCAAAACTGTATAGACTGAAAATTCAGCTACGTCTAATTTGTGCTCCACTCACAAATGTGTGATGGATTCAGTGATATTTGGGATAATTTTGGTGCATACTCCTAACACGGTTGGGGGATTTTTCTCCCCCCCCCCCGTACCCCAGAATGAATCCTTAAATTCACAATCACAGTATGAATTTGAAAGCAAATGTTGAGCTGAATTCATTTATATCCGGGATTCATTATCAAACAATCAATCATAGTAACCAAATTTATCTACTCTACTGAATATGCTATAATTTAGTGAACAAATATCTTGTTCCACCTAAACGTTGCTTTTGTCTTTAAAATCATTTAAAATCAATGCAATTTTAATTTGATGCAAGTTAATTCTGGTAATTTCTTATTGCCTGTTGTGAAACGTTTGAGGTTGGGTAATTGACTCATGTGACGTTAGCCGTTGATCGACCTTGTGAGACGTGACACTCAATTTGGAGATACATATCAGTTTGCAGTATCTGTATATTTGGATATCGATAGCGCTGTGTGAAGAGTATTGATTTTGAACTTTATCTCTCACTGTAACATTATTCTTTTGGTTGATCCTCATTGAACTTTGCGTGACCTTGAGTGGCACGATAACACATGAAGTAGATTAGAAGCTAATATTCAAAAATAAAGACGAACAAATGGAGTATTGGCAGCATGACGTTACAATAGGTGTATCATGCTTGTGAGTCATTTTTGATACTAAATTGTAGAGGTTTATACGGAGACCTTGTTACCTCGCATCTGATGCACCCGGAATCCACATCGAAATCAAGAAATCGTAAATTTTTAAGGCATTAAGCTAATAAAATCAAAAACATTAGTCTGATGTGGAGCCGCGTCATATTCAGTCCGATGAATGGAATTTAAAACGCTCAGCGTTAAGGTGGCAACAAATCTGACGAAAGTCAGAGTGTCGTACGAGTTTGTTCAACACCCAAGTGTGGATTTGTTGTACACAGAACCAAGAGAATATGAACCGAAGATATGGAAAGCGCTCAGTGTATATCAGTTCTTCCCTTGGTTAGGTCTCATCCCCAGTTTAAATGTAACCTATGATCAATGGTGGAACCCTATAGATAGAATCCAAATATACCACCCACGGAAACATTGAGCGGGCAGACTCCGCATTTTTGAGCACACGTGATCTGTGATTCTATCTCTATTTTCTTCAAACTATTCTTTATTGTTTGAACTCGGTATCTGATTTCTTGTTTACATGGAGGCACTATCGTTTTCCCCTGACAAAATACTTTCACCACAAACGAGCTCTTTCATTGAAGTAGCAATCGGGTTTGTTTGTGTTGTATAGACAGACATTTATTTTTCCCTATCGAAAACGACGAGCGAATCTGTAGCCGGATGTCAAAAAATGTCTGGCCACCAGATGTTATATACACGCCGAAACTGGAAAAGTACAAAGTAACCCATGCTATGTACTGTCCGCTAATGGAGTTATAACACGTTCATATTTCCTGTAAACCATTTGGCAAATTAATTCCATTAAAATTCTAGGAGTATTTTTCTCCGTAAATTGAATAGAAACAATCAGGTAGATGAGCATATAAATGAATAAACTATTTGAAATGAACGCACAAAAAGTACGTGCCAGTCGCTATTTTGTAAAGATTATACCAATTCGACTTCCGTCCCCTGCCTCCAACGTTATACCACTGAAACATCGTGTTGATTTATCTACGTGATTCAGTCTCGAGCAATCACCTCGATTTTAAAGTAAAGGTATTCTAGTTTCATGAACAATCCTACTCCGTCCGTTGAGATTTTTATCAAAAGATATTTCCATATACTTAGAGAGCACCAAGGGTGTGCCCCTACAAAAGATTAACCATTTTCTGGTGAACTCTGCAATATCTTTGAGACAGATTCGAACCGCCTAGCTAGCAAATCATTTGTTACCGGGCTGTAGAAACTCGAATCTTGCATGGTTCGCTTTGCCCAAAGCCAATTTACCATTTTTTGGACTAGTTGTGCACCAGATTTCCCCAGCGCCACCACATAATTTCATTTTCATCTGCTTTAGTGCTTCCCGTACCACAAACTGTATGAGATTCGCGATATAATTCAGTTAAGAATAATTCATAAAAACGGATGACTTTCGAAAAAGAACTAGGTTTATCGCTTCTCGTTTCATCAAACAAATAAAATGTGGATTATTGCAAGTAGGAAAAAGTTAGGCAAAACTTTGAGAATTCAATTCCAGCTCAAAAATGTAAAACAAAAAAAGGAATGAATGCTCTTCAATACTCTTATAACTCACATTCTGGGCGCGGGCAATTCAAATAATCGATTCCTTCACCCGTCCGCCATAATGGAAGTCATTTTGCACACCTCCAACCTGGTTCATTTCGGTTTATCCTCCGCAGATTCATCGACTGGTGATTGTGGATCCGCATAATCATCTCCAGGGCATCATCTCCTTGTCCGATATTCTCACATTCGTTGTGCATCAGAAACCGGAGACCGACAGAGCCTCCGAGGCCTACTTACGCGTACCACCTCGCTCGTGAGCCCGGGATCAGACTGGCTGTCCCGAAGCGTCCGGCAACACAAATCTGTGCTCCGGGGGTCGTGATCGTATCGTTATTCTCTTCCACACCGCATCGCACCCCAACCCCCCATCCACCACCAATGTATATACCCAAAATACCCCACCACCACCACCACTGTTCATGTAAATTGATCGAATCTTATTTTGTCAGACCCGGGAGAAAAAAAGTAACTATTCGTTGTGTGATATCAGATTCAGAGTTTATAACCGATTGTTTGCGAAGCCCTATTGTCCTCATGATGTTTTCTGAATGTGCACAAAATTTTTCACAATAGAGAATAATGTAATCCACCAACATGATTTTCCATGTTTAATATGGCACAGTGCAGAAGACAAGCACCGCCAAAGGGAGTGAGTCTGAACGGAAAAACGGGACAGTTAATTTTGGTTAGAAAAACGAAACCATAGAGAAAAAGTGTGTATGTGTGTGTGTGTGTGTGTGTGTGTGTGTGTAAGCAAATCGAAACAACTGAGGATAAGCAAATTTTCCCCTACAGAAAGTTGTATCCGTTCACCGTGGGCGAACGAAGTTGTAAGTGAATTTCGGATCCGATTGGTGAAAGTAGGGGAAACGTGAACGGCAGTAAAAAGAAACATATTGGGACTAGATAGAAATGAATGCTTTGAGATCGAATTCAGCGATTTGGTCTCGTTCATTTGTTGCCTAGCAAAGTTTTCACAGTATAGATGACTATTCCGAGTAAATATCGGGTTAGCGTTGCGTATGTCATCTAGTTTGTAAAAGGCGATACCTAATACGCTAGTTGATCAGTTAGTGGGTGGGGGAAGGGGTTGGAACGGGGTAAATTGTGAAATGCACACACACGACAAATGAGTCATATCGAATGATCTAAACTAATCATGTTATGCGATTCACCTAACTGCGAGTACCCATTTAGAACACGAACAAACTGTGTGTGTGTGTTAGAAGCCGGTAGATGGTAAAGATTGGTACAAATCCTGTTACATGTTACATGATGCTAATGCAGGGCCGGAGGAGGAGGGGGGGGCGGGCCGGCGAGTGACATTCGATCACACAGTGAATTTTGTCGTAGATAGAACCAACAAAGCCTTATCCGGAACGCTGAGAAGCACCAATGGAAAGTTGTTTCTCCCGTGCAAATCCATCGACTCGACTGAGCATATTGGATTTGGGACTTTAAAGGCAGAACTGGAGGCTTATTCCGTCGGGCAGATTTTAGGATTTGCTCCGACATGACATAGAGCACAACCCACCACTGCGAGCTTGGTATGTGCATTACATTACACATTTTCGATCTCAGCTCTAGCCTCCAAAGCTGTGACTTTGTTAAAAACGGGACTACTGGTTACGTTCTCAGAATGGTATGAGTGCATTCTGACTGTGAGGTCCTCGGTTGATTCTACAAATTCCCACTGCTAATGAAACCCAATCGGGTCGGAAATAATGTGGCGCGATCGTAGCTCAGGATGTGGATGTTGTTGTTGGTGTGTTCTCCGAGCTGGAATTGTTGTTCGCAGATGTTTCGTAGTCAGGCTAGGCAACATCACCAGTGCAACTTCTGGGAAGAACCAATCCTCAGGTTATATGGTTCTGTTTGAGGAACTACTGATGACCCAAAGCTGTCCCAGCTAAAACCAACCCAGAACCAGTTCTAGCCAGTTGGAAACCGGTTTACAGTTGGTCCAAGGAAGCTAATCGACCAATGAGGAAANCCACGACGCAGCCAATAAAATCACAGGGAATGGTTCAACTGACCAATAGGATTGAAGGGACGCAAACGGCCAATCAAAACGCTCTAACAGGTCTACATAACTGCAGTCACCTTGAGAACTAGCGCTTCCCTGAAGTTGCACTGATGATGTTACCTAGCCTGACTACGAAACATCTGCGAACAACAATTCCAGCTCGGAGAGCCCACCAACAACAACATCAACGTGGTCGAATCAGCCGCGAAGCTCATCCTAGCCTTTTAATTCACGCTTTATTTGCATTGCATACGAAGACATTGCCTTTGACATCCTGATGCAATATGATCGGATTTATGCGCCTATCAAACAATTTAAAATAAGCATTGATTGTCAACATTATTCTTCCCCTTCCGCTGAATGTGTTCCTGTCAGTAAGTGCGGTAAGTATAGTTTAGCACCAAATCAAATCTCTCCAAACAACTGATTTTAAACGAACTATTGATAAAATGCCGATGTTCCAACGTTTCAATCTCGGCCACAATCTACCTGCTTGATCTCGGTTCCTTTTTCATGGCTCAACCTCTCATTTTTGTCACATTATAGTTTGATCGTCTTCTATAAATCCTCAGTTATACAAACTACACCTTTGGTGCACCTGACACAGCCTTAAACAATTGAGGACCTAGGTTGAATCAAGTGAAATAATTAATCGAGTCAATGAAAATATACATTAGTATAATAATATAATAATAATATATAATATATATTGATTACTTGCTGCAAAACCGTACGACAGAACACAAGTACAACGTTCGAAATGTGTTTGCGCACGCTTATCCGGCTGCCAAATATTGGTTGCCGTTAAAATACAATCTTCTCATCGATCTGTTATTGACTGTATGCATTTTGGTTGGGCTAATCTGAATGCAAACACTTCATTAGGGATGTCGGTAAAAGAATGTCAACAGTAGACAAACACGGTGTTTGTAGACGCTGTGAAACAAAATGATGGAACATTTTCGGAACAAGGAAGAATTCACTCAGTTAATCACGTGATCAAGCGGTTAGTCTTTTATCCGGATGCCGTAATTTCTCCCGCCCAGGTGCGTAAACCGATTGGATCTCCGGACGTTGACCTTTGACAGGATATTATCAATATGAGTGACATATCGTAGTGTACTGCCAACATTGAGATTAATTCTGATGCACAGCCTGGAACGTGCATACCATACCGCATATGTAAGATAGAAGATAGTTGACAACTAAATGAAAAACAACTGCCGAAAGGTAGACAGTATTTAATAAAAATGAATAAAAAAAATCAATTACATCAGCGGTTGTTCAGGTTTATCAGAATCGTCCGATAAGATCCGCATTTGGAGAGGGTGAAGCGAGAGTTCTGACTGGAACATCGCAATATGAAGCAAACGGGACAATTTCCAGATGGCTGTTTATTTGTCACGTCTGTCCTGCTTGTCTCGATTTCGTCTTTGGATCGATTCATACTACAGTGAACAACGTTCCATATATGACTTCTGCCAGTCATCCTCGGGAAAATCTGCTCATGTTCTTCAACGAATAAGGAGAATAGACGAGAAGAACACAGTGTGGAAACATACATCAACTAGCAAAAGCAAATTTCCAAGTATTGTCGGTCCGCAAACTGGCAAACCGGCAAAACGATTTCGAGGAAGAGAGAGAAAGAAACATCTTCGTAGAATACTGCAGTATTGTAACGGAAACGAAAAATAGGTGCTCAAGCGCACATGTGTCAAAGTGATTTTGGCCATTTTGATGTCGTGACATACAATATCAGAGAGAGAGAGAGTGATTTGGTAAACAGAGGAGATGTTCATTCAATTACAGGCTGAAAACACATTATGAACGTGTCGAAACAGTCCCTCACAGAGCAAATTTCGAACAAAACAACAGAGAGATTCGTATCCATGCCAATATATTTCAATATATGTATATTACTACCAAGGTGGGAAGGAGCCTGTTTCGTTGCCTAGCGGACAGGGTAAGAAAGATCTGCAGGTGAGCACACGTTCGAAGCAGAGGTCGGTACTATAAATTTGATCTTTGCGCGTAACGGGTATCCGGAACGTTTGGTCAGTAAAAACGATTCAGTGCACGGTGACCTCTTTACAAATACACGAGGTTATAAACAAATCAGTGTACTTTTCTTTGCCGTTCACGGGGACACATCAGCCGAGATCAAACAAAGAAGATTGTCTGACGCGATCGATAAAACTTTCTACTTATCAGAGGTTTGTGTGTTGTTCATGTCCAAGCCAATTGTGTGTGATCTGTGATCTCATTCTGTGTAGACGTATTTTCTTGTTCCTGTGGCACAACCTACATAAGCCGCACGGTCATACGATTGTCCGAACGGATTCGTGATCACCACCCTGCGTGGCTGAATACCATAGCGATAAAGCCACGCACCAGTGCTGTAGTTACACATCTAGTTTAAACAAACCCCGGTGTGGACGTGGCAGAGGCAGTCCGCAATTAACGAGGCCAAGTCTTTGTAGGATGCTAATCACAGCAGAGGCGATGAGCATTTGTTTGCACAATCCCCCCGCTTTGTGTGCCCAAAAACATATTGTTCCCTAGTTAAAGCTTCACTGACCGTCCCTCCACACATAAACACCGCATTACTGGTAATCTCGATGACCGGATGAGTAGACAAACAGATATGTTATCGTGGTAAATCCGATTTCCGATCTCATGATATCGTTTCTAATAATCTTTGATTTGATTTGATTTTCCCAAGACAATTTTATTCCCAAGTAGTGCTATATATTGATATGTATTGACATAAATATTATAATCAACATTTCCTGGTGCCTGTGAAAATCCGAATGGGTTAATCCAACCATTCATCGGTTAAATTGATTGAGCCATTAGCACAAGGTGATGACCGTCGACCGTGTAACTCAGGAGTAAGGGTTTGAAGTTCCAACCCGGAGGTTCACGGTTCGACACGGACATAAAAAGTACGCTCTACTGAGGAGTGCCAAACAGGACGAAACGGCTATCCGATGTTTCTTGTCGGTTACCACAAACACCATTTAAATATAATGAAATCTTTCAAAAAAATATATGATTAAAATATTCCACACTAACAAAATCGAACATACTGCCAAATGTGTTGGGGTATCCTCTGTTTGTCCTTCCTCCACCCCACCCACCCACGCCCCGCCCACACACGAAAAGTTACATTAGCAATGCAACTGTCGAGGAAACTCTTGGTGGAACCACTTCAGATTGTATTTTCAAGTC